TCTCTCTCTTTCTCTCTCTCTCTCTCTCTCTCTTCCCTAGATGGGTTTTTTGTGCATGCATTTTCCTTCTGGCCGTTTTTTGCATGCATTGTCACTCTTTACCAAGTTCATTGAGGGGCAATCCTATGACCCCGAAATAGCCCAGGTCTCTCTCTCTCTCTCTCTCTCTCGAACTAATTATCAAAGTTAGGTGAAGAAATGAGAACTTGAGTTGGCTCCCGTTGCAGGTATGCATCTGTTAAGGCAATTGAGAGTCCATCTCGTGTGGATGATCAACAATGGCTGACCTATTGGGTTCTGTACTCTATGATCACTCTCTTTGAAATGACTTTCTATAAGGCCATTGCCTGGTAATCTCTCCAAGTACCCAACTAAAATAATTCACTTTTTCTTTTCTTTCTGAGTTATGTTTGCCCTTCTGTTTCTTCATGAATCAGTGAATGTGGTGTGTATTCTTCAACATAATGCAATGGCATATCATTTAAATTATTAGAAATTATTGGTCTTTGAAGCAATGTAGTACCAAGAGATTTTAACATTAAGGAGGTTCATTCCAGTTACATAGAGACCCCCTCAATTTTATGTCAAGGTTTAGGAACTCGCTCTTGGCCAAGACAAGTTGCTTGATGGACTTAAGGTTACAAATGAAAATTAATAATAACAATAAAAAATTGAAAAATAAAATAAATGTAGTAAAAGTAAAATAAAACCAAGGGCAACCCTAAAAGTCCAAATAAGCATAAAAAAGTATGGGAAAAGATAAAAAAAAATTGATATATAGTTAGGGACATTTTTAAAGAATCCATAAAATATGGAATGTATGAAACTAGGGATTATGGCAAAAAATGCTCACTAATATTTGTGAAACACATCCAGACTGTGTACACAAATTTACACAACATTCCCCAATTGTTTTTCACTTGGAGCTACTGTACCTCACCCAAGGGCGAGGCTAAATAACTCAGCTGAGGCCTTGTGGACCTGGCAGAGTCTTGTAACACTGTTTTATATAGATGACGCAAATATCTCATCTGCCTCATTGATGCATGGCCTTTAATAGAGCAGAATGGCGAAATATGATTTGTGTAGCCGACCCCAATTACTTGGGGAAAAGGCTTTGACGATGATGATGATATATCTCATCTCACCAGGATTAGTCAAACAATCTATGAATTTTTCGAAAAGTGTTTTGCATTTTGTTGAATGGTTTGCTGTTGTTCTCTACTTCAAATTATATATCATGTACTGAATCTTACTAGTTCAAGTCAAACTGTTTTGATGACTTTAAACACATGACTGGAGCAACTAAATTAGTTGTTTTGGTCATCTTTTTAATGTTATCATAACGTTTAGTCAAAACCATGTCGAAAGATGCCGTTTCCATGCTGGAAAGCCTTACAATGGCATAAAATTCTATTGTCACCCTTAATTATGAAATTCAAATATGATGCAGATTGAGCAGATCTATGAATAATTAAAATTTTTGAAAATTGATGCTCTACAAGATGTACAATTTTCATGACTGAAACCTTTTTTTTTTCTTTCCATATCCATATATTTTGAGGTTGAGATAATCAATTTGAGGGTTTTTTAAACACCGGAACAGCCTTTTGTTATGGTTTTTGAGGTGCGCCTTTAATAGTATGAGGCTGTCACGCTATATAAACTTTTCGCTATATATATATATATATATATATGTGTGTGTGTGTGTGTGTGTGTGTGTGTGTGTGTGTGTGT